CTTTTCATAGTGTGTACAGGGCAGAGAAGACAGATGAAATTCATCATATTATACGTAAAAGAGAGGACATCAAGACCTACTTTCTGGTCTCACGCATGAATCATGTAACTTAGCGAGGCTCCAACTTAAGTTCCCTTCTAGGGTGTGTGTTCCTCAGCGATTACACACTCATTCCAGCAGAGTAGGAGGTCAGTCAACAAAAGTATTTATTGAGCCAGATTCTCCTCTGCTTCTGAGTCATTTTTTGGTGAGTAAAGGGTTCTCAGGGAGAAGTTTTAACTCTTTTAGGTCATAAGGATTACTCCTCCTTATAATAGAGTAGCTCTTAAGTAATCATATGGGGGTTATGCTAATTCTTTATTTGATGTTTTATTTATTTATTTATTTATTATTTTTTTGCAGTTTTTGGCAGGGGCTGGGATTGAACCCACCACCTCCAGTATATGGGGCTGGTGCCCTACTCCTTTGAGCCACAGGCGCCGCCCTATTTGATGTTTTAGATAATGAGGTATATACTTAGTTTCACAGTGAGATGAAATTTGAGAAAATACAGTGTAAAAAAAGGAAAATAGTATCTACCTTGGCCCCACCTTGAGGAGGTTTAATAACATATAGATGGCTAAGAGGTTTGCACAATATTCTGTTTGTTTTAAAAGAAAAAAAAAAGTAAGACACCACCCTTATGCGGAAATCTGACATCTGGCAACTTCAGTTCTCTGGAAGACAGCCAGAAAATAAGAAAGAGGCCTCAGAGCACATGAAAAGTAACTGTTGAAAAACTCTGGCAATGGCACATGTCCTTTATCACCATGGAAGAGTTTGTTAGCCTCTTATTTAAAGCTCGTGTACTTTTATTTATATGGGAACTTTAATAATTTTGGTGGCATATGTGCTCTCTCCTTTCTAGCAGATTATAAGCAGCAATATAGAAAAAAGGTGGAAAAGTTAACAGAGGAAATAAATTGAGAGCAAAGTATAGGCTGACATTAAAAGAGAAAGGCCCATAAGTTACACAGTACTGGTATTACATATCATAACACAATACTGTAAGGTATGTTTGTAATAATGAGCTTGCATCCATCAGCCAAAGAGTAAATTATGTTTGGTATCTTCCATGAAAGAAGTCAGAGACGTATTTAATACTTCTATTTTTAAACATGTTTAAAATTGACCAAGTTTTGACATCTTGAATGGCAAGGTCTGTAGTGTTTATGTGAAATAGCACTTTCTTTGGTGATGCTGTATCAATGCTATGGATTTCTACTTGTAGTTGATTATGGAAATGATGTTTTGTAATAACCCACTAACAGTTATCAAGCTGCTCTATACGGGCCCTATCCTAGGTGCTTTCACACTATTGGCGTTACTGGTTAAGGCTTTGGAGACAGACACACATGGGTTTCCATTCTACCTCTGACCATGTGACCTTGGGCAGATTACGTCACCTGTCTGAGCCTGTATCCTCACCTGCCAGTAAGATACAGTCCTTGTTCTGAAGACTCCATGAAGGAAGTACATATATGATGTGTGGTACCTAGTAAGGACTCAGTAGATATTAGGTACTGTTATAACTACTTTCATTATTATAATAATCTTCTTAATTATTATGAAAGTATTATTATCTCTACTTTTCTTGGCAAAGAAACTAAAGTCCAGAGAGTTAAGTCCAAAGTGGATCTGGGATTGGGACTTGGGTCTCTGACACTAGAAGCCTAGTGTTTCACATTCACATATGCTATGCCTTTCACATGTAATTATCATTA